GACCAAGTGTGGCCACTTGCCCCAAAACACCATTTGAGCAGAAGAGCTGTGGTGAAGAGCAGGAAAGGAGATTTAATCAGCCTGATCATGCTGGAAGTGTAGATAGAGGTTCAAGTTGTGTCTTTTAGGGACTGAAGGACATTTTGGAGTTTTATAGAGAAAGGGAACAGAGACGCGTGGTCTGTGTTTGCATAGCCAACAGGATAGGAACTACTGGTCATACAATGATCTGGTGCATGGGTATCTCAGGACTGGTTCTGAAAGGTTGCTCTGAAGAAGACCTTCTGTGGCTTGAGGGGAAACTCAGTTTCCAAGAGATGATTGCTCCTGGGTTTTTCAGGGAAGGGGACCTATCATGGGGTGGTTTGCTTTTCCAGGAATCCAAAGTGATCATGGGTTTAAGATCGAGGGTTTAGGACTAGGACCTTTCTAGGCATTGCTCCAGTGGATATGGACTCAGTTTAAAAAACTGGCAAATGGATGTCTCTGTAAATTTTGAACATGCCTTGTTTATTCTTACCTTGGTGTCCATGAACTTGAAGGGGGATAAGTTAGACCAGGTAAATTTAGGGCTAATGAACCAAATATTAGTAGTTTTCAGACAGACTTTCTTTTTTCTTTCTTTATTTAAAAGAGTAAAAAAAAAGATAACATAGTAATAGGGGGATTTACTGAATTACAGACAAAGCGGTAGGATATTATCAATGGTTATTATTTTACCTATTGGCATCTTCAAGATAGTTTCTCAGGGAAACAAATGGACAAATAATAGTGAGTTACAGACAAAAATGGTAGGAAATTATCAATGGTTGTTTTACTATACTTTGGTATTGTCAAAGTGGCTTCTAGGGAAAACAAATAGAGCTATACATGAGTGATCAATTAAATAATCACTGACTATTCCCAATAGTTGTTGTTGAAAACACATAGTAATAAACATACATCCATTTACAAAATAGCATAGGAACAATAGAAACATTACAGAGTTATGGACAGATTGGTAGGAAATTATTAGTGGCTGCTGTAATACATGGTGGTATCTTCAAAGTGGTTTCTCAGGAGAACAAAGATATGCAAGAAAGATCTAACAAGTAGTTACAGCCTAAGAGGTGTGAAAAATAGCGGATTACCTCCTCATCAGTGACTCCTTTCACTGAGGTGTGACGGCTGGAAGGAAGGCCATGACTGAAAAGAAGGACTGAGAGACTAGCACCAGTGCCAAGCAATAGGCTGTTTACTTTTTCCTCTATAGTCATGATTACTTAGGGCTCTTCCTTGAAGATAACAGTCTGGCCAGAGGGAGAAGGCTGAGTATGCCCTGGGCCCCTTCATTCCTGTTGGACCAGCTGGTAGGAGGGGTCTGAGCTCTGGGACCTTCACTTCACATGGTGGTCCAACCTCTAGTGGTCACCTTTAGAGTCAGGGCATGGCCCAGGGGACTTCTTAGGGCAGTCCCTCTTGAGGTGGCCTGGCTTTTGACAGTGGTAACAGATGAATGTAGTTGATGAGTTCGTCTTGGGGCCCCGAGAATCAGACTCAGGGTCTGTTTCTCTTAGTGTTGCAACAAAGGCAGCTGTTTTTTCTCGGTCTCTTTGTTTTCTCTCCTTGGCCTCCTCCTCTTCACGGCTATAAAATACTGAGGAGGCAATTCTTACTAACATCTCAAGTGAGCTATCTGGGGCAAAGGCCATTTTTTGTAGCTTTTTCTACTATTTGGGGCTGACTGAGTGACAAACTTATCTGTGAGAATAGTTTGTCCCTCTATTGACCTGGGGTCCAGGGGAGTATGCTTTATCAATGCCTCTTGTCTAAGAAAGCAGAGGGGTTTTCTCTCCAGCCTCCCAGCACATTGGGATCCTGCAGCCACTTAGTGTCCTCTCCCCAACCATCAACACAGGCGGCAGGAACATGTGGATGAAGTCCTCAGCCTGCTAGTCAGTCTCAGCACCATCAGTTGGGAAGTGTTCCAAGCAGGTAACCTAGACAAGTACCTTCTCTATGAAGGCTGTTCTTCAGAATCTGAATATTGGGCACCCATGTAATCCATGAATTCTCAGTGCAGACCTCTCTGGAGCTCCACTCACTCCTCCACTGCAGCCTGTACAGTTAAGGGAAGAACGGCCTCCAGGGTGTCTCCCCAGCTATTGTGCAAGGCCTTCCTGGTTTCCAGCTCCTGAATGGCTCCCGTGTCCCCAGTCAGCTCGACCTCTGAGTCACTGGGCATCGGTACTCTCTTGTTCTCCTTCCTTGTTCATCAGCTGCTCCTCCACTGACTCTGGACCTTTCTGGCTGTCAAGGGCAAGGCCAAGAGTGACCCACTGTGTGGCATGTTTTCCCAGAGGTTTCTCCACATTGGAATGGTTCATGCATGTCTCCAGGTGGAGCTATTGTGTCAGTGCTTCTCTGTGGCATGGTGTTTCTTGACTGCATGGCTGCGGTCTCTCCAGTCTGCTTCCCTGGTGCCTGCTGCCCGCCTTTCCAGGCTCCTGTGCAGCTGGTGCACCGGGCCTAATTAAGCAATTATTGTTCTTATGTGCAAGATGTGACTTAGAGTTTTAAGGTAATAAAGGAGAAAAATATAAAATGGAGGCAGAAATTATAAGTTTATCCTGCTTTTAGCTCCCCATTGGGCATCTGCAAGCTTAGCCTCTAAGTCCTGATAATAATAGACATTGAGTAATGTCTCACTTTGGTATAATCTACATGTCTCTAATGACCATAAGTGCTGATTTACTATTCTTATATTTGGGTACAATGCCATGCATTTTCTCTGTTTTCTGTTTGAACTGTTTGATTTTTTGACTGTTGGATTTTTAAGTTTGTTTATTTTATATACTAACTTTGCTGCATATGTGTGTCACAAACATTTCTTATCACTCCATACCTTGTCTTTTAGTATTCTCTATGTCAGTGTTCACTACAGAAACATTTTAACTTTGATGAAATCCAGTTAATCAAATTTTCTCTGAAGGATCAGGCTTTTTATGCAAAGTCAAAGCACTTTGGGCTTAAATTTCAAAGATTTTCTCCTATGTGCTTCAAAGAAGTCTCTCATAGTGTTACATTTTAGGCTCAAGTTTATCCTTCCTTTTGAGTTAATTTTGTGTGAAATGTGAGACTCGTGTCAAGATTTTCAGCCGGAGATCCTTCAACTGCTCCAGCAGCACTTGCTGAAAGGCCTCCATGGACTTATTTTTGCACCTCCGTCAAAATCAACAGAAAGTTTTTGTGGGGTCTGTTAGTGGGTGCCCTGCTCTGTGTCCCCCCTTTCCTCTGTAGCACACTGTTGATGGCTATCATGACATAGTCAATCTTGATATAGAAGAATATATAAATGCATATCTGTTTGTTATTTAGCGCATCTTTGATTTCTTCTGGCAGCCCTTTGTAGTTATGAGCAAAGAAGTTCTGTGCTTTTTCTTTGGATTTATATCTCATCCTACACTTTTGAGCAACTGAAAGCTGCTTTTGCAAAATTTCTGCATTTATGTGTTCATGGATGGAATATACCAGTACAGTTTGTTACATGTTCCTCTTGTATTCTGTTAACTTGCTGGACTCACCCTGAAGTACTTTGAAGACTTCTTAGCATTTTGTATATGAACAATAGAGTCACTGACAAGGGGGGACAGATTCATTTCTTCTTGTCCAGCCCATTTGCTTTCCAGGTGCTTTCCTTGCCGTGTTACACCGACAGGACTTGAAGCACTAAGTTGAATCAGAATGGAGAACGCGCACATTTGCACCTTTGTTCCCATCTATGTGGAAATGCCCACTCTGTTACTACAGGTTTCTGTATGTGCCCTTTTTCAAGCTGTGTGTGTTCTTCTACACAACTATTTCCTAAGAGTTCTATCTTCTAAGAGTTTTATTAAAATTTTTGTTTCCTTAATTTTTAAAGTTTTATTTTTTTAATAAGTACATGAGTATAGTACATATTAAATACATTTATTGGGGGTTGGTATGTATATAATCAATATATACCTATCATTATATCTATCTATCATCTATCTATCTATCATCTATCATCTATCACCTTATTCTTTTCTACTCTCCCTTCACCTTCCAAGAGGTTTTATTTTTGATTATAAATCAGTGGTAAATATAGTCAGGCATTTTTTTTTGCATTGGCTATATTGTGATTTTTCTCCATCTGTTAAATTGGAAGATTATATTGACTGATATTGCAAATATTGAACCAGTTTTGCATCCTGAGAATGAACTTTGTGGGTCATTTAATACTGAAATCTATTTAACAGTCCTTTGTGGGTGAATTTTATGCATCTCTTCATAGAAGATATCGGTCTGTAAAACTTACCCTTTACTTTTGGTATTCTCTTCATCTGGTTTTGAGTTAGGACTTGCCTCCTGAAACAAGTCAAGGGAGTGTTTCCTATTTGTCCATTTTATGGAAGGGACTGTATAGAATTGATATCTTTTGAAAAACTTTGAGTAGCACTCTACAGTAAAATGATTTTAATTCTTCCCTGGAGATGTCTTTTTCAGGGACAGTTTTAAAGGTTATAAATCCAATTCGCTTAATTGTTACAGAGGTCTTTTACTTATCTATTTCAGATTAGGTGTGTTGTGCTGGTCTGTATTTTTTGAGGAAATAGGATTCTCACTTACAGTGCAATATTTAATCATAACCACAAGTAAATTTTGATGTTGCCATGTAGTTTCATCTCAGACTTACAAAAGATGCTGCGAAAGTGATAATGCCAGTCCTGGTACCTACTACTCAGCTGCAGAAATAGAATACTATAAATGTAACTGAAGCATATGTATGTTGCTCTTTTTTTTTATTCTTCCTCTCACCTTTGGGTAATTATCACCTACTTAGGCTTGGCCTTTGGTATCTCCCCAGATGTTCAAGTAATTAATTTTTAAAACTAGTATGGGTAATCAAGGGAGCGGTCAGAGTTGTACTGCTTAACGAGGCTGCTAGATATTGACAAAAAATCAAACGGACCTGGTGTTGCTTTGTCTGATTTGCACAGCTCTGCCCGTGTTCACCCGACTTCCGCAGGACACCAGTGTGGCTGTAGGAAAGGATGTAAATATTTCATGTCATGCTCAAGGAGAGCCGTGGCCCATAATTACATGGAATAGGGTAAGCGTCCAACTAAGACCACAGTGATATTAAAAACATCAACAGATATACTGACCCACTGTAACTGAAATAGTGATTTTCATATTGATTTATTGCTGTTGTGAGTTTTGCCAGCAAGTAATACTTTCTACACCACAGTAGGTTTATTTCCTGGTACGTCATCTTCCTTTTTTGATTTATTTGTTGTTTTTGATTTTTTTTTTAGTTGACTGTATCTGATTTTGGCTCAGGACTTTGATGCAGTTTATCCTGTCTTATTTGCTTGGCAGTAAGAATTTCCTAAGCACAACTAAATCTGTAGAAGGAAAAACTGCCTTTGTCATATATAAACTAAGAATTTCAGTGGCCAGTGAGAAACCATTTTAAATTAGTGGAGCAGAAATAGATTAAAAGTAGATCATTAGCTGAAACAAGAAAGGAATGAAAAGCTTGGAGTTAAAGGGACATATAAAAGAATTTCTAAAGCTTCAAAACTTGAATGGCTTTAAAGAAATAATAGCTCTTTATTTAGATATTTCACTTCTTTTGAATCTCTGAGCCATATTCTTTCAACACAATTGCTTCTTCTACTTTAAGCTTTTCATCAAAATGAAATGACTAGTCTCAGATTCCAGGATCCTTAAAAATGAGTGAACCTACACACATTTGAATGGTAGGGTTTATGGAAAACTGTGATAAAATATAAATTCTGTTAAAGGTTACAGAGCTTTTTGTCTTCTAAAACCGGTGGCTTATTTTTGTTGTTGCAATAGCAGCAAACCTTTGTGGAAGCTCAAGTCTTATGTGTTTTGTGTTACACATGAACACTACATATAGTTTGTGAAGAGAAAATTCAGTGGTCTCCAACCTGACTCTTTCAGTTCCTGTCCTGTCACATTGCCTGAACATTTTTTGTAAACTTCTCTTTTGAGACAAGGGTCTTCCTATGCTCCCCAGGTTCCCCTTGAACTAACGCCTGGGCTCAAGTGTTCCTGCTACCTCAGCCTACTGAATAGCTGGTACTGTCGGTGCACGCTTCCGTACTTAGCTTATAAACCCTTTTACAACTTCAGTACCATGTATTCAAATAATTTATGCTAAAATAGGAAGTGTGAAAAACACATTTTGGTCTGTATCTAAAGCCTTATTTAACACTCTACTGAATGCTCCATCATCTGATCATATAGCACAATCACTCAGGGTAGTTTTTCTAACAGGTCACTTCAAATCACAAATCAGTTGGGTACAGACTATATGCTGGGCTGTATATGTTACCCCATGCTGTCTCCCCAACAATCCTCTTTAATTCTACTGCTTGGAAAGGGAGTGAGTTAGGATAACTTTACTCCAAGCAAACTACCTGATTAAACAGTTTATTGAAAACTGTCTGATTAATTAGATTCTAAGCAAAAACCAGTAGCTATAAGGTTACGCTGCAGGGTCTGGCAGTAAGGGAGGAGAATGGAAGAGAAAGAAGCAACTCTGGAAAGAGGATGCAGTGGTGATTCATCAAGAGAAAGGGGTGGTGGTGCTGAGGGTAAGACCCGCTGCTCTGGTCTGCAGGGTTCGGTGCTCACGTTGGTGTCTGGTCTCTGTTAGGGCACTCATCCATCAACTGTACTTATATTACTCCCTGCCCTCAGGACAACTACCCATGACCTTGAAATTTGTCCTAGCCCTGGCCAAAGATAGCTGTGAGAATCTGAGGATCTGTGCGACCTTCTTGCCACTGTAACCATGATGGTGACCCTATGGCCCACTGGCTGTCACTGGAGTGTGAATTCTTTTGAAAAAAATCTCTTCCATCCTTAGTTCCCTCTAAGGCTTTTGGAGAGGGACAGATAGGGAAGCTCTTCTTCAACTTCTGTCACTAATGGCTGTTTCTTTGCCTTTTAAATTAACACCATAACAATGACAATGTACATAAAACTGTTCTAATCATAAGAGAATGCATTTTACAGTAGTTCATACAAGATGTAGTTATTTTTATCTTCTTAAAAATATTTTTAATTAGGAAACCTGGTTACTATATATCACTGCAGCTACACAAAACATGGGATTATGTACCACAAAGAAATAGAAGGAAGTCAAAAGTAAGAAAACACTGTGAGTTTTTTAGGTGATGGATTTGTGAGCATTTAAAATTTTGTTTTTATTTCTGTTGTCAAATTCCCTTTTAGAAGTAAACGGGATATGAATAAATTGAGTGTATCCATTCATTGCTGTGGTGATTTAAAAATAATCGTATGAAGTAGCTGTATGACTAAACTGGGTATGATATTTAGTTTACTTAGAGAGGGAGAGGGGGAGGGAGGGTCAGAGAGAGAGAGAGAGAGAGAGAGAGAGAGAGAGAGAGAGAAACCACAGTAATTGGTATAAGTTCTGGAAACTTTTCCTTTCTTTCCATTGTATTCATGTGACACCTTCTATGTACTTGACACATGGCAGGTGCTCAGTAGATATTCAGTGAATGAGTGAAAGCTAATAAAGCAAAGGGTAAATATTTATTTTTTAAGGAATCCCAGTGTCATCCACTGCCCCCTTTCCCCTCTGTAGGCAGGTGTCCAGATCACCGAGAGTGGTAAATTCCACATCGACAGTGGAGGCATGCTGACCATTTATGATACAGGGCAAGCTGACCAAGGAAGATATGAATGTGTGGCTCAGAACTCATTTGGCCTCGTCGTGGCCAGTATGTTTCTTACAGTCACTGGTAGGTATTTATATCTTCTTTGACCACATCCAAATATATGTCTTTGGCCAGGCATGGTGGTGCAAGCCTGTAATCCCAGCACTTGGGAGGCTGAGACAGGAGGATCTTTGAGTTTGAGACCAGCCTGGGCTACAAAGTGAGACCAACCTGAACTGCATAGTGAGACCCTGTCTCAGAAAGACAAAAATAAAGTCTTCGAACAGCTTCTTCAAATCCTGATTCATCTCACTACACATATTCCCTTATACAGTTTTTCTAGTCATATGTACTCATAGTAAATCAATGCTATTTTATTGTTTTTAAATATGAACTGTGTGACTATGAATCAAAAGTAACAAGCCAAAAGGGAACATTAATAGTGATAATTTGAAAGTGTATGTCAGATTTTGTTTCTTTATTTTATTTTATTTTTTTTTTTACGGTACTGGGGATTATTATTATTACTCAGGACCTTGCACTTGCCAGGCAGGCACTGTGCCACTGAGCTATATCCCCAGCCCGTATGTCAGATTTTCTTAGAAACTGAAAACTATATGATGTGAGATGTATTCATTGCCAAAATGTGGAGTCAGAGACTGAAGGTTAATATGGAATTCAACACCTATTAGTTACTCTGGCCTAGGATATCCTAGATTAAAATAAAATTAGTCAAACCATGAAGTAAACTTTGCCACCAGGAAAACAAATACCTTAATATTCAGAAGCATTTATAATTGGTCAAAACGTTGGACACTGCTTTTATACTTTATGATGAATCTGGTTGAACATTTATAACCTTTTGCTAGCTGATTCTATATGGTTAAAAATTGCTTGCCAAAGTCTTATAAAATTGTTGTTTTGCTCTGAATGATTCAGTTCATCTTGGCAGTGAGAGAGTCCATTTGTGAACTGACTTGAGCAGACTCGAGGTCAGCAGTGGTTAAGGATAGAGACAAGCTCTGACGGTGACCACCTGACACACAGTGAAGAAGTAAGGAAGCAAAGCACGGCATGAGTGCCTGTAGCAGATGACATCAGAGTTGCATTTTTTGTTTTGCAGAGCTTAGGAGTTTTGCTGTATGGACAACTGCTAGTTAAAATGAATGAGCTCAGCTATAAGCATCTGCAATGCTGTTTTGGGCTTTATCCATTTTTTAGTTTCATTAGATATGGGTATATTTCATAGATTTGGTTTTGCAGATTCATTCATTTTTCTTTTAGTTTTGCTAGTTTGCATGGGTTTATAAGAGAGAAGAAGTAACTATTATAAGTTTGGGCCTGATTTTAGAGTATTTGTAAAAGCATATCTTAAAAGGCATCTCTATTTCCCTGTCCTATCATTAGCTCTATATTCTACTGCTTACCAATTTTTCTGAGATGTAAATCTTCTGAGTATCCCATTTGTCAGGATATTTTAAATAAAGTGTACATTTTCATTACTGGTACAGCAACCTTCATGCATTTATCATACTATAAGGCAAAATGTATTCTCTATAAAATATTATACTTAAAATTACAATGAATCTACTTTAGTAGCCAGCAAATATTTGTTCTAATAAGAGTCAGAAATTCTTTGTTGTATAGAACTTCTAAATGTTTCAGAGTCTTAGTCTTACTCTGTTATTCTCTATGAGTTTATGTTTTTCCTAATTTAAAATCTTTCGTAGCATGCTTTTTATAAATTTATGGTGCTCGCTTTCTGCTCTTCAACTATTTATGAGATCTGTAGAAAAATATCCTTGAGGAATTTTGGAAAAAAGTGATAGAATTTAAAGGAACAGCACTGTGTTTAGAGATACTGGAAATATTTGTTATTAAACAAATGAACAAACAAGTATTTTCCTTTCTGTACCCATCTCTCCCTTGCTTTGCAACACAAAGCACTGTAATTAAGAAGAAAAAATATTTCAGAATCTCTACAATGAGAACTGCACTTTAACTGATGTAAATATAGATTAATTAATTGTATTCTCTGTGAATATATACATTCAGGCCAGGGGTGTAGCTGGTGATTGAGCCCTTAGCTCACATGAGTGAGGCCATGGATTCCATCCTCAGCACCACAAGCGAGAAGAAAAAGGAAGAGGAGTAGGAAAAGGGAAGGAAGAAATACATTAGTCATTTTATTTGTCACACATCAGATTTTTAAAATAGTGATATATGACACTCATTAATATTCTTCATAGAAAACAGAAAATCAGGCTATAGAGGAACGATAACAGCACAATAGAAGGTATTCAAATGAGAGTTGTTTTCTTTATCTTTTTTGTTCTGAAGACATGTATATATCAATATAAGAGAAAATTAATTTATGTCTGTATCTCCTATCAAATGTTTCATGATATTAGAAGAATTTTTTTAAAGGGAAGATGTAAGGACAAAAATTTAGGCTTAAATAAAATTAAGATTTAAGACAAGGAGTATGAGTTTGTGCGAACAACCCAAATCAATAGAAGAGGGCAACATATGGTAATATAAAATAGCACTCAGAGAACATTTTATGAATTAGTTCTTTTCATTCACCAAGTCATAATAAGTAAAAGGAAAAGTCCATCCATTGTAGAGAATTTTCCAGTCTTGCTGACCACAACTAACAGTGATGAAGTGTTGGAATCATGCTTATGTAATAACTCATACATAGAGGATCCTGTGGAAAATATAACTATAACAGTGATCCAAAATAATAAAACTGCATGATAATGACCTAGACAAAATCTAGACATTATCAATAAAATAAGCATTTATCTGCTGATAGTTATAGTGGAGATATTATAGCAAAAGTAAAAGAGTTTCTATAGTTTAGGATGCCTATTTTTCCCTTGGAGATAATGTACATTGAAAGGTAGTTTTAATACACTTTGATAATCTGTAAAGCTGATGTGATATCTACTGGGGACATTTTTGCTTAGGGTGCCTTTAGTGCATTTTATATTAGCAAATCTTATCTGCATCCCATTATCTTTTGCCTTTTTCTAGATAACATTTGGAATATGAATGCATTTTACTTTATATAAAAAATTGTTGAAGAACAATTTACTTTAACACCTCCATTCTAAACTGACATGCTGTTAAGTGCTGCTGAGAGGTATAGACCCATTTCTTGCTGTGAGAATAGTTCAATCTGAGAACATATGACTTTTTTATTTTGAAGAGAAAAGATAGTCAAAACAGTGATACAAAATTTCAAAACAAAATAATAGGAGAGTAGCAATGGTCAATACATTGTGTATTGTTATCTTCAAAGTAGTTGCTCATATTACAAGATATAGGCACGAGAAATTGATCCATAATATAAGCACAGACCTTTCTTTTCCAGGAACTAATAGAAATTAGTAGTATAAGTGTGAGATAGTGGATTAGTTCATCAGACTTTATTGATCTTAGATACGTTAGATAACTAACTTCCTTACTTATAACTGGAACTAATTTCCTCATATTTTAAAGAGATAGATAGAACTAGCCTCTCTCAACAGATCTCATGGAATTCCTGATTCTAATAGAATTCAGATGTGCAATAAAAAGGGAAGCCATTTTTGGGATATCTATGTGGAAGAATTCTTACCAGTAAGGCCTTAACTAATATATGGGCAAGGTGAAAAATGCAAAGATGAAACAGAGTTTATTAAATGAAAAATTTACAGCACAAATAATAACATCCAAACTGATCTCAATTTCATACAAATAAATCTAAATCTAAGTGAAGTTGTTTTTTCTGAAATTTTGAGTTGCACTTCTAATGGTCTGTTGGACGTTTCATAAAGTTTGACTTGGAGTTCTTCACTCCACCCTTTCCTTGAAGACTCGCGCCGGCTGAATAGCACCACAACCCTTGTCAGCAGGAAGACCAAGGAGCCTCTGCTGGTTGGATTCTCCTCCTCTCGCTCTTTACTCCAACTACTTTGTCTCCCCGATTTTCCTCCCAAAGATTGTATTTTTTTTTAATGTTTCATTTATTTTTATTTTTTGCATTTTTTTCTCTATTAGGGATTGAATCCAGGGTCTCCGCACTGAGCTACATTTCCTTTCCTTTTTAATTTTTGGTTTTCGAGACAGAATCTCACAAAGTTGCTACACTTGAGCTTGTGATCATCCTGACTCAGTCTCCCAGAGTACTGGAAGCACAGCTGTGCTCCACAATGCCTGGTTCAAAATAACACCTTTTCCACATCTCTTCTTTTACATACATCTTCTGCACAGTTCGTTTCCTCATCATTTCTAATTTAGGCTTTTGTTAAAACTTTCTAAGTTACCTTCTCACCTGTAACATTTTCTAAGTTAGTTATATTCTAAGCCAAATAATTTATTGTTGAAACAAACTGAATGAAGTTTCAATGTTGTGTTAGTTGACTTTAAATTAAAGGGGACATTTCTATAAGGTTAATTTAATAACTTTTTAAAACACAATAATACTACTAAAATAGTTAACATTTACTTGGCATTTACCTTGTGCCCATTTAACCATTAACTTACTTTAATTTTGGTGGATTCTAGTTATTGTTTTTTAGATTCTGAATGAATGATTTACTTGCCATTAGACATTTTAATCCTAGCATTTGTCATTGTGTAGAGAAAATATCTATTTGTAAGCCACTGAAATTTCCACAGAGTAAGGAGTACACTTTAAGGCGTCAAAAATTACTTATATTTAGTCAAATGTGCTAATGAAGTGAAATTGATAATGGAGTCATTTGAAATTACTCTTCTGCTCTATTATTTAACTTACTCTGAATATGGTATAAATTAGTTTATGTATTGAGATATGTAGCAATCTTCCTTATCTCAACAAACTCTGATACTATAATAAATGAGGAAATGTATCTGCAAACACTTGTATGTATAATTTGTATACATATGGATATCTTTTATAACACCTTTAACTATGTTGAATAGATTTCCTATCCATTTCATATATGAAATCTATAGAAAGCATATCCATCCTGAGATAGCCACATGTTCATAAAATTCTAGTGCTAAATTTTAATTTTAGTAAGCAGCATTTCTAGGTTTTTTGCTATTGCAGT